CCTTGGTGAATAAATGCTCACCAATTCCCTTCTGTGCCCCCGTGATGAACTTATAGGCAGCCACAAGGTCGCCTCTCAACCTTCTCTTGCGGAGGCTGAATAGATCCAGTTTCTCTAGTCTCTCCTCGTAAGGCTTGGTCTGTAGGCCCTTAACCATACGAGTGGCCCTTCTCTGGACCCTCTCCAGGTTATCCGCATCCCTCTTGAAGTGCGGCACCCAGAATTGCACGCAGTACTCCAACTGCGGTCTGGCCAGCACCCGATAGAGGGGAAGTATCACCTCCTTGGACCTATTCATCATGCATCTGCTGATGCACGATAAAGTGCCATTGGCTTTTTTGATGGCTTCGTCACACTGCCGACTCATGTTCATCTTGGAGTCCACTAGGACTCCAAGATCCCTTTCCAACCTTTCCCTTTTCTTGGCCAACCTTTTCTTAAATACTTCCAATGATGGAGAGTCCACAGCTTCCTTAGGCAGTCTACACCATTGCCTCACTGCTTTAACAGTGAAGAAGTTTTTCATGATATCCAATCTAAATCAATTTTGCTGAAATGTCAAGCTATTGGGTCCATGCTCTGCTCTTTGCAGTAAGAGATAAAAGGTATTTTTCCTCCTTATGACAGCTCTTCAAATATTTGAATGACATGCTGTCATGTCTTCTCTTGACTATTTCTTATAGAAGCTGAACATGCCTATCTCCTTCATTCTCCCCTCATATGGCTTGCCTTCCAGGCCCTCTATCATTTTGTCACCTGTCTGGACCCTCTCTAATGTCTTCCAGGACTTTTTAAAATATGGATCCCAATATTTCAGACAATACTGTAGATGAGGCCTGACCAGTGCCAAGTAAAGAGGCACCAACACATATCATGTGTTGCACCTAATGCTCCTATTCATGCATCCCAAAACCACATTCACCTTTTGTGGAGCTATATTCCACTGCAGATTTATATTGGATCTGTGATCTACAAAGATTCCCAGATCCTTTTCTGTGGTGCTTCTATCCAGCCAGGCGTCACCCATTTTGTATTTATATTTTTGATTATTCCTGACATGTAACACCTTGAACTTGTCAGCATTGAACTTCAACCTGTTAGCTCTGTCCCAGCCTTCCAATCTGTCAAGAATCTTTTCAGTTGTGCTCCTCTTCCAATGTGTTTTCAATGCTTCTTAGTTTCATGTCATCAGCAAACTTGCTAAAGAAGCTATTTCTGCATCCAAATCATTAATAAGCATATTGGACAGCACTGAGACCAAGACAGACCCCTGTGGGACTCTACTTGAAACCTGTCATTCTGACATGGATCCATTTATAATTACCCTTTGCTTGCAAGTATCAAGCCACTTGTCTATCCACTGTATAGTACTGTCTAGCCCACATTTCTTCAGTTTGTTTATAAGTCACATAGGACCTTGTCAAAAGCCTTGTTGAAACCCAGATATGCTATATCCAGTGCATTCCCTTCATCCAACCAAGTGCTTACTTTGTTTAAGAAGGAGATAAAGTCATAGAATCATAGTCATATTAGGGTTGGAAGGGACCTCAGGAAGTCATCTAGTCCAACCCCCTGCTCAAGGCAGGATCATCTCAACTAGATCATCCCAGCCAAGGATTAGTCTAGCCAGGTCTTTAAAAGTTCTAAGGGTGGAGAGTCCACAATCTCTCTGAATAACCTGTCCAGTGCTTTATTACCTTCCTCATGAAAAAGTTTTTTCATAATATCTAACCGAAACTTCCCTTACTGCAACTTGAGACCATTGCTCCTTGTTCTGTCATCTGCCACCACTAAGAACAGTCTAGCTCCATTCTCTTTGGAACCACCCTTCAGGTAGTTAAAGGCTGCTATTAAATCCCCATTTAGTCTTCTTCTCTCCAGACTAAATAAGTCCAGTTCCCTCAGCTTCTCTTCACAAGTCATGTCCCCCAGCTCCCTCACCATTTTTGCTGCTCTCCGCTGGACTCTCTCCAATTTGTCTACATCCTTTCTATAGTGGGGGCTGAAAACTGAACACAGTATTCCAGATGCGGCATCACCAGCACTGATTAGAGAGGAATAATTAGTTCTTCCAATCTGCTGGTAACACTTTTACCAAAGCAGCTTGGTATGCCATTATCCTTCTTTACAAGAGCATACTATTAGCTTATATTCAGCTTATTGTCCACTGTAACCCCCACGTCCTTTTATGTAGAGCTGCCCATCAGTCCCTAGCCTGGGACTGTCCCAATGCCTGGGATTGTTCTGTCCTAAGTGCAGGACTTTGCACTTTTCCTTACTGAACTTCATGAGATTCCTTTTGGCCCAATCCTCCAATTTGTCTAGGTCTCTCTAAATCCTTGCCCTACCATCCAGCATATCTACTACTCCCCCTAGCTTAGTGTCATCTGCAAACCTGCTGAGGGTGCACTCCATCCTATCTTCCAGGTCACTGGTGAAGATATTGAGCAAAACTGGCCCCAGAACCAACACCTGGGGCACTCCACTTGATACTAGCTTCCAACTAGACATCAAGCCATTGATTACTACCCTTTGAGCTAACTATCCATTCAGTTTTCTATCCACCTAGCAGTTCATTCATCCAACCTGGGCTTCCATAGCTTGCTTGCAAGAATGTTGTGAGAGACCGTATCAAAAGCCTTGCTAATATCAAGGTATATCATGTTCACTGCTCTCCCCGCATCCACAGAGCTGACTGTACCTAATCACCTTCTCCTCCAAGTTTTTGGAAATGGATTTCTTGAGGACCTGTTCCATGATCTCTCCAGGGATGGAGGTGAGCCTGACCGGTCTGTAATTCCCCAGATCCTCCTCCTTCCTTTTCTTAAAGATGGACGCTATATTTGCCTTTTTCCAATTGTCTGGGACCTCTCCAAATTGCCATGATTTTTCAAAGATTTGGTACACTTTCTTCTTACTACCAGTAAATCCATGCCAGATGGTTGTGATCACCATTTCCTCATCCAGATGCTTGTAAACAGATTTCCTTATAATGTGTTTCAGTAACTTTTGGGGTCTTGAGGTGAAGCTAACCAGTTTATAGTTCCTTTGGTTTTCCTTTTTTGAAGAGGGGCACTATGTTGACATTTTTGAAGAGAGGCATTATATATACCCAGTCTTCTGGCACCTTGGCCATCTCACATGACTTTATAAATATTATTGCAAAGGCTCTGAGATCTCCTCTGCCAGTTCTTTCAGTGCTCTGGGATGAATTGCATCAGGCCCTGATGACATGAATTCATTCGGACCCATCAAAAGTTCTCTAGCTGTCTTTTTTGTTATCTCATCCCTCAGCTTGTCCCCTTCCTTGTTCAAATAATCAATATCAGGTGTCTGACTGCAGCTTTTTTTTGGTGAATATTGAGGCAAATAGTATATGGATCATTCAATCTAGTCTTTCTGGAAGAACAGATGCTATAAGCAGCATTGCCTTATTGAAGAAGGGCTTAAAAGACTAATTTAGCATTTTGCCCATTTGAGCCACAGAGGGATTCAGTTATTATCCCAAAGTCCTCGAGAAGGTTGGTGGCATATCTAGAAACTGAACTCTGGCTTCTTAACTTCAAATCCAGTGTCATATTCCAAAGCAGCTTGTTTCTACTGGAGGCACTAAGTGACCCTTCAGGTTTAGTGCCTCATGTGGCCACTTACTGAAAGTACCTATGAAGGCCATCACTGAATATACAAGCCCATGGAATCCCTTCCTCCACTGAACAGAATCACTAGTTAAACTGTGTATTGATTTCCTCTTTGCAGAAGAGGTTGAGTGGTGAATAGACTGTGGGTAGGTGAGTGAAAGACTATAAGGACTAGATGAACCATGTGAAAGGCAGACAGAACGTGGGTCTCCTCCCCTCTCCCGCAACAACTTTAGGAGAATGTTTCAACTGTGTACTAGGAGCCTACTTGCATCTAAAGTAATAAAACAGGAGGTTAATCTCCATGTTCATTTAACCATGGGTTTCTGCTCTATCTACTTCACTAATGGACTCCTGACAATGATCTGAAGGAATGAGATTCCACTAAAATAAATGAGGCATTTAGTGAAATTAGTCCTTATGTTATAGCAAGGTGTCAGCTCTGCTATAGGTTAAATCTGAGCATTGCTTTCCGTTTAAAAGGTAGGCTACTCTAAGAGTCCTAACATCAGCATGTTTCATCATCTTGAAAATTGCTCTGTCTCCATAACTCATATTTAGGTGACCTGAGCAAGGGCTTCCCATGATACTATCCCCTGGAAAAACACAACATTTTATAAAATGAATTCAAAAGCCTGGATTCTCAATCTCTTGAAGGCAAAAGTTCAAGTTATGCTGACTTGGAAGATACTTAGTTTAGACAACCACAAGGTATTAAGCTCAATATGGTTAGTAACTGGATGAAACTGTACTGTGTGCATGTATTATATAGGAATTCAGACTAAATGATCTAATTGTCCTTTCTGGACTTAAAATGTATAAGTGCATAATGAGTCAATAGAAGGAAAGAGGATGTGCCCTTGTTTTCATTGCATTCCACATTTATATGACAGCATTTATCCATATGCATTTTAACTGCATTCACAGTTAGCTGACTGAAGGTAGGATGAGTTGGAGCAGTTTGACACAATGGAAATATGCTAAGGACTGCATGTGCCTCGGACAGTATGCTTCAAGCATTCTTCATTTCAGCACCAAATTTTGTAGGTTGTCTCAGCAGAGGTTCACAGGATGTCTTTTTCCAGGTCTTTGTCAGCAGTCAGTTGATATACATGGCAATATTCTGTAAGGAAAGATTTTAAGCAGTCTCAGAAGGAATTCCCAGAAGAAGGGTGGCAAAGAGGTAACATGGCAAACCTGGGGTGGCTAGCCTGGAATACACTTAATGCTTTGAGCATAAGCTGCCATCACCACCCAGAAAGCAGAGAGCAGAGATCTGAAGCCAAGAAATGAAGAATTAAAGGAACACAAATTTCAACCTGTGGAAGCCAGGAGATACAGAAGTGAGGAAAAAACTGTCCCCATGATGCAACCTTAACTCTGCTCACTTTGAGTGATGACAAAATATGGATACACATATAGACTAGAACATCCAGTAGCATCAGATGTTGCAAAAACAATCTGGGAACAGACCACAATAAAGCTGAAGGATAAACTCTATCACACTCTCATTGCTAAGGCAAAACTTACAGTCAAGTCTGAAGCAGACAGGGGTTAGAGTTAAGCTTACATCATGAAGATAGTATGTTACTCACCTCTGTATCTCCTGATTTCCAGGTGTTTAAGTTTGCATTCCTTTAATTCTTTTTTTTTTGGTTTCAGATCATTATGGTGGTGATAGTAAACTATTGGACAGCCATAACTCTGTGTTAAAGATTGTTGCTATTTAACTGAACATACACAATTACATTTACAAATTCAACGTTAATGGTTTGTGCATGCTCTCTTGGAGACAGCGCTAGATTTGGACTCCAGGAGACCTCGGAGGTCTATCTGCAGCTCTGTCACTGACTTGATACCTGTCCTCAGCCAAGTCACTTTACCTTTCTAGGCCTCTCTCTGCCCTCCAACTCTTTGACTATTCAGACTGAATCCTTCATGTTAGATGCTGTCTTTCACTAAGTGCTCATCCTATGCCTACCACAATGGATGCCCAGACTTGGGAGAGGCCTCTACTGTGAAAGAAAAAGTTTAAACATTACTAATTAAAGAGCTAGGGCTACACTCTGGGAATGTGCACTCTCCTCTTTTTTCCTGTCTAATTTCAAAGCTTCAGCTTTCAAAAGTATCTCTCACCCAATGAGGGGGGGTGTTTCCCAACAAAAGGGTTAAAATTACCAACTCCATTAGAGAGAGAGAAGACTGCTTTAACAAGGGTTTAGATCTTATGCCATGCTAGGTACCAACTAATCAATACTAGTCAAAGGTGAAGGCCAGAGAGCAGAGCCAGGAATCATTGCACAAGCTAAGCAAAGTTTAGTGAACCAAAAACTTGATAAAACATATGTTTAACTCCATTTTCTGTGAAACGTTCCACCCTTTCTTTTACCTGATCCTGGAACAGGGACCATGTGCATTGATCCTCCCCATGAGTGACACAGGCACACAGAGATTTCAGTGGAAGTCCTCAGACCATTCTATGGTACAACAGTCCTTTATTCCCCTTCAGTTAATATGCCCTGACTTTTGCATATAACTCTTTATTCATGAAAGTCTTGATCCAAACTCTTCTGGTAAAAGGGCTTGCAAGCAGTTTACTTTCTGTCCAATGACTTCATTGCAAAGGATTTTTTTACCGTATCAAGTTTGCCATACACAGACTTTCTCTCCTCTCGTTCACCAGAGTGTCCCTGTTTCTGGAAATGATCTGTGGTTTGGAAATGCCCTTTTAGGCTTCAAAGAACTTAAAATTTGCCATACCAGATCACACAATTGGAACTCTCTAATTTCATCTCCTCTTGTAAAATATACCTGGTGCACTTCAGAAGATAACAACATGTACCATCAATATTTGGTTCTTATATAGTAACACTATCTGCAATGATGCAGGAAATCATTACTCTCTCTACCCTAGTCCTCATTAGATTCTACTAGGTGTTGGGAAGGGTTGTTATAGAAAGCAAGTAAAGGATGATGGGCCTCCCTCTTAGCCCCCCTCATAAATATGAGTAGGTATAACAGAGACACAGAACATCATAAGAGGGCTTCCAAAATCATAGCAAAACATAGCACAGCCCCTTTCAGGATTGGTTTGGCTAAACTTTCCCCATTCAAAGAAGTTGGCAAGAAAATCAGGAATTTTGTCTAGGGTAAATTCCTGTATGTGAGGAATTTAAGTCTGGGGTAAATCTGTGAAATTCTGGATTGTACACTAGAAGGAGCCTACAGTTGTACACATACAATTCATACATGTTTCTGTTTTGCAATCCTTGGATTTAAGCATGGGTAAGCAGCCCATTAATAGTCATGTCCCATATTCAGCTAGTCTCCTTCCTCGCTTCTCTTATACTCTTGTGCCATCTATATGAGCATCTATAGGTAATGTTCTCTGCCTCCTTTATTCACATTAAGGTAGTAGCTTGCTCGGTTCAGACTGTTTGTAAAGTAAGGTGCTGCACAGTGCAACTAAGACATCAGAATGTGACCCTAGGGAAAACAGTGATCCTGAAAAGAGCATTTCAGTTGCTCTCCAGCCCTGACACCTCTCCAGCAGTTATGTATGGTCTTGTACATCCACTTAAACATGGGTCACCTAGAACTGACTCTGAGAATAGCCCTGCTGGGAATGATATATATTTATACTGGACTCCTCTGCCCTATTGACACAGGCTTGGCATTACCTCCACAGTGTTGTCAGGCAGGTTGCCTGTATCCATACGACCCTGAACTGGGATTTGTGTTTTTACCTGTAAGGGACAAATGGACTCAGGGCACAATTCATGGCAGCAGAGAAACTGGAACTGGAGTTCTCCGTGTTGTACTGGTTCTTGTGACATATGGTTTTATATTGCCACCTCGTGGTGAGAATGCATGCAAAACAGCTGAATAAAGATGGCTGACTAACAAGTTAGGGCTGTGATGTATTTATTACAACTCATAAGAGATGTAACGAAGAATGTTGCCAAGTACTGGATGCTTCTTGCTCATTCAAACAGCTGAGTCTTTCTTGTGACTTGATGTGTTGCTCACTGTTTACATTATTTCCCGCCTAGAATGTAAAATGGGGCAGCTCTGTACCAGGTCTGCAAAGGTACAGAAATCTGGAGACTTCTATAACAATGACCTAATGCCTCAATTTGCAGATGTGATGTTATTGTCAAACGTCTTGGAATCCAACATGATATGTTCCTACTCCACATTTTACAGCACAGGTGTCTGCTACCACAATTGTCAACAGCTGAAAATGTGGTTGGGACCATTCTAACCAAAGAAGCCAAGAGGACGATGAAGGTCTAGGTCTCCTTCAAGTGCATGTGATTAAGGAGCGAATGAAAGAATGGGCTTTACAATTGGTGTCCCAATGGTGACAAGGGAACAGAAAACCAACAGCATGCTCCCTCCTCCTGCTATTGCATGATGGAGTGGAAAGTTGTGATGACATACTGAAAAGGTCACTTACAAGTGCTACTGCAAGGACTACTGCAGTCACGCTATGCACTGATTTCCATTGGGTGATGACGTGCACATTCAAGACTGCCTTGACACCAAACTCTCTTTCAAAAGTCTGAAGGTGTGATTTTTTTAGAGTGAAAACTATTCACGTTTATCTTTTATACAGCAAAGTGGAAGCCTCTAACATTTTTTTAAAGTACTGGCCTTTGTTCTAGGGCACTTACAGTATAAAGTGTAACACAGCAAGAGAGGACAGTCAAAACAGAATGAAGAAATTAGTTTCAAACAAGAAGGCATACAAGACATAAGGTATACTGTTGTTATAGAGATAATTTGTTTCTGCTTGTGTATCATAGATTGGAGGAAAGTGTAGGCTGGAAGTGTGGGGGGAGGTAAAAAATTGATAGCTCTTGTTTGAGTGAGGCATAACACATTCACATTCCCCATATATCCCCTTAACAGCTCTTTGCAACAACCACTGCTAATTATCCCTCCCCACAATCTTCTCCTACAAGACATAACCCTCCTAAAGGGCACCCTGTGCAAGGAAAGGCAACATGGTGCAGGAAGAAACATGGGGAAAGGGCCACCCAGGGCATGGATGAAGTGGAGTACAGAGGAAGAAGAGGGCAGGGAAAGGGAATGTGGAGCAGCACGGAGCTGCTGCAGCTCTTGCCTCAACTGGGGCTGGAGGCTGAAGCCAGAGCCGCTACTACTGCCTGGCCTGGCCGAATGCTCCATGCGCTGCAGTGGAGACAGAGCAACTGCAAAGGTAGGCAGGCACAAAAGAGAGACAAGAAGGCATGGGGTGGGGGTGGGGGGAGGTGACAGCAGGGGGGTGTCACAACCCAGTGATTTTGGTGCCTTGGCATGGTGGAATTTTCCCGCCACACGAGAGCCTCTTGCAAAAGTAAAGGTTTTCTGTTGCAGCAGAAA